GCCGATTCATCGGGGTGGGAGTTCTCGCAGGAACATGATGCCTTTGAGGTTTGCTGGCATGCTGGATAGCCAATCCGGTGAGTGACATTGCCGACTTCGCCAGTATTGCATGCTCAGAGCCACTGACGTGGAGGAACTCTTTTCCAACACATCAGATCAACTCTGAGCAACTCGTTGCCAATCAAAGATACGGAAAGATTCACCATCAACATGAGCATCATGTCCTTCCCCCAGGCCGCCATTGATGGCGACATGTGGGTAGAGCCAGTCGAAGTGCTGGCTAGCTACTTGTTTCGCAGAACGAGACGAGAAAGCAGCAGAGGCTGGCGAAGGGGAAGCCAACGCGGAAACCTCGACGGCCACCGCCATCTACGAGCTCTATTTCGACCGACATAGAAAATCCACTCTCATCATCTCTACGCCACTCCCCAAATCTGGGAGCTGGCTGCCCCCTGTTGCTCAGTGAAGGCCGCATGCCACAGAGGGTCAGCAGTCTACCGAACCCCAGCCGTGTCCTCGATTCACCATCTAGGCACACCAGGCAAAGGTCAAGGAAGAGCTCAAGGAGGCAGAGAGTGAGTTGGATGATCTCAGCCACGAGTGAGAAGATGTTGATCGGTATTGGTCTTGGGCATGACAAAATGGATCGTTTTAATCTTGAGGGCAGTTTGAGAAGAAGATCAAGAACCCCAGATGTTGTTTTGGCTCGCTGTCAGGAACCTGTGAGATTATGGCCAAGCGGTCGTTCTCTTCTCGATCATTGCCGTTACACCATAGTACACATCTACGTCCTTTGACGCCAGAATCTTTGAAACAGTCGTGGGCATCAGTATTTATTATAAATCCTGAAGTCCAGTTACATGTATATGAGATGTCAACCGCTTTTACCTTATATGTGCTATTGCCAACGTTCACCAATCAGAGGCCGTGGCTTTCCTTCATGTTCATGCACGAGACCTCGCTTATGCGCATTAGCACCGCCTTTCCTGCGGTTGTTGCTATCAAGCGTCGGGCAGCCGGCTGTCGGATTTTCGGACTTGAAAGACGGCACGTCATCCAAGGGAACGTTCCTCTCATCAGCTCATTATTACCTACCTAGGTAGTCAAAATCTCCCCTCTACTTTTCCGGATCTACTCTTCAACGTCTCATTTCTCGAGCTTTTGTCATATGAGCACTCGCATCTCTTGTCACAGATGTTGTGAGCAGCCACGCGGGACCATTGTCCGACTCCTGTCCACCCTATACAACTTACTGATTCCATCAAGTTCAACATGTCGACCTGGAATCCGTCGCATCTCTCGTCGTCCATCATCGGTCATGTACGACATCATCCCATACTCTTTACTTCCGCGATAGCGATGGTGCCGCTGGCGGCTCTGATGATGCCTTCGTACCGTGGCTTCATCGACCTTGGTCCCGGTGGCCTCCCACATAACGTCTTCGGCTGGCTTCTCCAAGGTGCCTTGCGTCCATTTGCCCTGAAGAGCACTCGCGATCAGAGCGCCTTTCAAAAGCCTGGCATTTCTTCCTCGTACGGACCTCACGGAACTACTCGATTTCTGCAGGGTGAGCTCCCTGCGCGTCAAGGAGATAGACCGGTCATCCCGGATTACGTGGCACCACAGAGGCAGAAGACAGACAAAGGCGACGAAGCCCTTGTCAGCAGAATGAATAGCCATCTAGGAGACTTGACGAGTCGTTGTCACGAGACGCTGGCCATCAAAGGATCTGGCCTGGAAGCAAAAGACAGCTCTGCATTATGGCTTGTCGGCACTCCGTTGCCCAAGTACCTGGTGAAAAGCACAAAGGGAGAAATTGTTCACGTCCACCCAGAAGCCAGCTCTCACATGATCCTCAGCCTGAGTGATGCAGAAGAAGCGATGGCAAAAGGCTGGGCTGAATTCC